GCGTATTCAGAGTTTAGAGTCATTATTATATGGTTTTGATTACATTTCTCTTTTGGATATCTGCTACCATATAGATTTTGTAGCAGATTCTATTATTATTTTTGACAAAATTCCTCATCTAACCATAGGACTATATTGACTCAAATTATATTTGAGCATTTTAATAATAACTAGGCATCACATTTGGAAAATTATCCTTACATATTTTCTATTTTAATATTTTCTATTAAAAGTTATATTTTAATTAGGTCACTCTCCTCTTTCCTTTTTTCTGTTTATTGCTTTGGCATATGGGTTAACCCCTCTTAGAGTGTTCCTAAGTTTCCTCCTGTTTCATTATCTGTATATCTCACACAAACTTGTACAGAAAGACATACTAAAGAGATTAATGCTGCCCCTTAGTGGTTACCTATGTGCACAGCATATATATATATATATATTTTTTTTTTTTTTTTCTAGCTGAACTACATCCCCCAGAAGGGTCAGCTGTTCCCACAGACTCTGCTCCGCAGAGGATCCTGGGAGGAGGTCACTTCTTGCTCCCGGAAGTGATTGCAACTATGTGAGCTAGTTTTGGGTCTGTGACCCGGAAATAAAGTTTTATAAAGGTTTCTGGGTTTTGTAATTCTGTTAAACTCTTTCATACAGTAGAATGCTAAGAGTGGAACTACATCTCCCAGAAAGCCCAGAGCTTTCTCCGCAGAGGATCCAGGGGGGAGGTCATTTCTTGCTCCCGGAAGTGATTGGATTTTGTGAGCTTGCAAGGTCTGTGACCCGGAAATCGTGTTGCAGAAAGGTTTCTGGGTTTAGTAGTTCTCTGAAGCTCTTTAATACAGTAGAATGCTAATAGTCGAACTACATCTCCCAGAAACCCCAACTCTCCCCACAGTCCATGCTCCGCGGAGAATCCTGGGGGGAGGTCACGTCCTGCCCCCGGAAGTGATTGGGAGTTTTTGTTTTTGGCGGGAATGCTAGGTGTGTGACCCGGAAATGAAGTGTAAGTATCTTGTCTGACGCCCCCTGGGTGTTTTGTTCCATGATTGCTATCCATGCCATGCATTAAACCTGAATGGCTCCATTTCAGCAGGTGGAGCTCAGTATTGCAGGAACATTTAGCCAGGTCTACGTTCCCTGTGTTTATGGCTTTTATCACTGAGCCTAACATGTGTATTGCTGAACTGTCATTCCCATCATCCCTGCACTGACTGACTACCATTCCCATTATCCCTGCACTGACTGACAACTACCATTCCCATCATCCCTGCACTGACTGACAACTACCATTCCCATTATCCCTCCACTGACTGACTACCATTCCCATTATCCCTGCACTGACTACTACCATTCCCATTATCCCTGCACTGACTGACAACTACCATTCCCATTATCCCTGCACTGACTGACTACTACCATTCCCATTATCCCTCCACTGACTGACTACCATTCCCATTATCCCTGCACTGACTGAGTACTACCATTCCCATTATCCCTGCACTGACTGACAAATACCATTCCCATTATCCATCCACTGACTGAGTACTACCATTCCCATTATGCCTGCACTGACTGAATACTGCCATGTAAAATGTAATTTGGAATGGTGTTAATGTTGAATCTTCTTAATTTCTTCTTGTCTTGAGTTGATTGATATATATACGTCTTTTGTATATATAGTCTTGGGCCAAATGCTCGCCACAATAATATGTCTATACTAGAAAAGCTACAATTTCTGGTGAAATTGTGTGAAGTGTTCTTGCCTCCACCTGTAGTCTACAACTGGAGTGGGCGGAGTAACTGTTATCATTTATATAGCACATTTAATTGCAACGTTGTTGCACAGTTACATTAACCCCTTAAGGACGGAGGGGCGGTTCAGGACCGTCATCGGCATTTTCGTTGCCGACCGATGGCGGTCTGAACCGTCCTAGCGGTCAGAGCTACTTACCTGATCGCCGTCGTTCCCCCGGCGGCGATCAGCGTGGCTCGGTTGTGGGGAGACTGCCTGCAGCCCAGACAGTCTCCCCGGCTGATTAGGACCCCTGTGGCCATGTGAACAACAGAGCGATCACATGGTCACAATAGGTGTCCTAGTGTCTGCCTGCAGGGGGGCTGCCTGTGCTGACAGGCAGTCTCCCTGCATGTGTAAAATAAAAAAAAATAAAGTTAATGTTAATAAAAAATAAATAAATAATTATATATGTGTATATATGATATATAGACATATATTATATCTATATAATATATGTCTATATATCATATATATATATCATACTAAGTGTATTTTTATATTAATATGTACTTATATTAATATAAAAATACACTTATAATTAAATTACACACGTATATATATAATATATATAATAACTATATATATTGTATATATATATTATTATAAAATATAAATAATAAGTAATTTAAATTAAATAATTTTTTTTAAATAATAAAAAATTTAAAAAAAATTATATATCTATATGAAATTTTATTCTAACTGTATTTTAAAATTAATATATATATATTTATATCAAAATACACTTAGAATGAATTTGTATATATATCTATGTATATAAAAATAAATAAAAATAATAAGAAATATACATACGTCCATATACAAAATTACATAAATAATTATATAAATATACACGTAGACTTCAAATATATAAATATGCATATATATTTAAATTCTACGTGCGTATTTATGTAATATTTTTACATAATTCAGTAATTTTATTGATTGCAATTTGAGGGACCTGCCTGCCAACCCAGGCCGAAATTCCAGAGAATTTAATTTGCTAGCACTGTATTTTACCCTGTAACGTTCTACGACACCCTAAAACCTGTACATGGGGGGTACTGTTTTACTCGGGAGACTTCGCTGAACACAAATATTAGTGATTCAAAACAGTAAAACATATCACAGCGATGATATTGTCAGTGAAAGTTACTTTTTTTGCATTTTTCACACACAAACAGCACTTTTACTGATGATATAATTGTTGTGATACGTTTTCCAGTTTTTAAACACTAATATTTGTGTTCAGCGATGTCTCCCGAGTAAAACAGTACCCCCCATGTACAGGTTTTATAGCATTTTTGAAAGTTACAAGGTCAAATATATGGGTCAAATATTTTTACATTGAAAATGGCCAGGTTGGTTACGTTGCCTTTGAGAGCGTATGGTAGCCCAGGAATGAGAATTACCCCCATGATGGCATACCATTTGCAAAAGAAGACAACCCAAGGTATTGCAAATGGGGTATGTCCAGTCTTTTTTAGTAACCACTTGGTCACAAACACTGGCCAAAATTAGCGTTCAATTTAGTTTTTTTACTTTTTTCACACACAAACAAATATGAATGCTTACTTTGGCCAGTGTTTTCGACTAAGTGGCTACTAAAAAAGACTGGACATACCCCATATTGAATACCCTGGGTTGTCTACTTTAAAAAAAATATGTACATGTGGGGTGTTATTCAGAGATTTATGACAGATAATAGTGTTACAATGTCACTATTGATAAATTTTAAAAATGTATGTTTTGAAACCGCAATATCCTACTTGTACCTATAGCCCTATAACATGCAAAAAAAAGCAAAAAAGCACGTAAACACTAGGTATTTTTAAACTCAGGACAAAATTTTGAATCTATTTAGCAGTTTTTTTCATTCGCTTTTGTAGATGAGTAAAAGATTTTTCAAGTAAAAGTCAAAAAACATGTATTTTTTTCAATTTTTCATCAGATTTTTGTATTTTTTTTAAATTAAAATACATGAGATTATATAAATAATGGTATGTAAAGAAAGCCCCTTTTGTCCTGAAAAAAACAATATATAATTTGTATGGGAACAGTAAATGAGAGAGCGGAAAATTCCAGCCAAACACAAACACCACAAAAGTGTAAAAATATGCCTGGTCGCAAATGTACAACATCGCAAAAACAGTCCAGTCCTTAAGGGGTTAAACCATACATTTATAAAAACATTAGCAGGTGTTCAAAAGGCCCTGTCTATGACATCACTTGCTGCTGCAGCCTGGCAAAGGTCAGAGTATTTTGGCGGTTGCCATCTTCAAACGGTCGTATTTTAATAAATCCTACAGCGAAGAGCTTTATATTATGAGAATCACAAGACCCAGACCTACATTTTGATGGATAGTATGTCTCTGAAGTATTAAAAATGAAGGCACAGTCGCAGTTTAGAAATTGCACTTCAAATTTGATCTTTGTAGAGTGAAGTTTCAATGAATGTCAATGGACGGCGTTAGTTGCAAACAAATGATTATATTGTGAAAACTATCAGGACTATGGCTTAGTCCTATCAGGACTATCAGCTATCCCTGCTGCCACTATCCCTGCTGTTTAGTGGCAGCAGGGATAGCTGAACGTTTTGATATAAGATTTGTGTAGGTGGGCCTGAAAATAAGGGAGTGGTGGCAGTTTAGAAATCATGTCCTGATTTTTCAGCTTTTGCTAGCTCCCACTCTAGCTTTGCCATTCATTCCTATGGGACAAATTTCGCCACAAGAACGACGATATTCCGTGAACCATTCGGCGAAACGTTCCACAAAGTAATAGCAATCCGATCGGGAACAATCTGCACGTTTTGGTAAATTTTTGTCTATGTAGTGTAAAAACTGTGGGAGGAGTTAGGGTGGCAAATTTGGCTATAATAAGAATAATAATATATATGTGAGATAACATTAAGTGGTCTTGCTATGCAAGAACACTTAATTATTGAAAAGTACTAATACGCAATCTGACTTACGGTTTCTTCAGGTTTATTCTTAGTTACGGATACATAATAAAACAACAAATGATGTTACAGGATAATGGACATTCAACAGCAGATGGTAATTCCCAGATTTTACTAATAACATGACGTAAAGTCATGATTTTATTAATGACACGGAGGCGAGTATTATGCTATCTCTTTCTTACTTTATTCCTCAGCAGCAAAGAGAAATATAAAACTGAAAGAGAAAAAATTTAAATATGAAATATAATAGGTACAACCAGATCTGCCTAGTAACAGGGCAGCCAATCAGCTTAGTAGGAACAGTCCATAAATGTCTTGCTTAGTACTTCCACTTCCTCTTCTTTGCCTTCTGAACCGAAGACCCAAACCAAATATCCATATCAGGAAAGAACAATCTCCAACAAGGTAGACATCATCACAACAAAATCAAGCTGTAAAACAGAGAAATAGTAGGTAAAATCCAAACTCCGGATCTGAATGTAACATATCATGACAATCTGGCCTGTAGGACTATATACACCAACTGTCGTAAAACTCATAAGTAAATAGACCCGCTATACGTCAACAATCAAGAGCTAAACCGTGAACACTTACCTTGAGGTAAAAGATCCCTCCCGATTGAACCATAAGTATAGATCCAAACCATACCCAACGGGTGGGTGGGTATAATACTCGCCTCCGTGTCATTAATAAAATCATGACATTACGTCATGTTATTAGTCAAATCTGGGAATTTTATTAATGACACAGAGGCTCCTATTATGCTAGTTTAAAGTTGAGCCACAACTAATGAGTCAACATGGTCAATCGGGCGGAAATAAAAATCACGGAACATAGATTCTCTAGACCAATCCGCTGCCTTCACGATATCATCCAGACGACATCCCATCGTAGAAGCTTTTGACGCCATGGCGCCTCTGACCGAATGAGCCGAAAATATAGAAGTATCGATCCCTGCAGTGAAAAGAAGATTCTTAATCCAACGAGCTAACGTAGTCGAGGAGACCGGGAGAAACGGCTTCTTAAAGGAAATAAACAATTGGGATAAATCCAATGACCTCAATTGGTGAGTGCGATCCAAGTAGACCCGTAGGCAAGCCACCGGACACAGAGCAGGTCGGACTGAACACCTAGGGTAGGTCACCGACTTAGAAGACGTCTTAGTCCTCCTAGAGTTGTTAAACGACACTCCCTCGGTGGTGAAGGATAACGCGTTCCAGTCCAAAGCCCTGACATCCGAAACCCTTTTGCATGAAAGGAGACAGAGGAGCATAACCAGTTTCCAGGATAATTGCTTCAGTGACAGCTCCTCGTTAAGGGGCCACGATTCCAAGAAGCCCAGCACTATGTTAACATCCCAAAACGATGAATACCTGGATTTCGTAGGCCTAAAGTAACGAATACCCTTCAACAATCGGCATACAAGAGAATGTTGTCCAACCGGTGATCTGTCAATATCAGAGAGGCAGAAAGGGGATCCAGCAGTCTTCCCACGCACCAGCCAGACCACACACGCCATGCAGATTTGTAAGCTGTTCTGGTACCCGGTGCCCAGGCATTCTCCAGGAGTCTTGTAGTACACCAGGGTCCCCCGAAATCAACCAAACCGTGAGCTGGAGCACGTCCTGGTCCACCAAATCGTGTGAGTTCCCATCCGGATCCAGAAGCACATCTGGCCGCATCTTGATCATCCGTGGGCAATCCGTTGCCATCTCCAAGAGACGTGGGAACCAAGGCTGAGTCTGCCATAGGGGAACTATCACTACCAGTGTACACTGTTGTCTGGGCAAGTACGCCAGTGTCCGAGAGATCAGGTTGAAAGGGGGAAACGCAAAGTGACGACCCCAAGGCCATGTCTGCAGGAACGCATCCACCGCCGTGGCTGACGGATCCGGCCTCCAACTGAAGTAATGGGGTAGTTGAGAGTTCAGTCTGGATGCAAACAAGTCCAGTTGTAACGGGCCCCATAGTTGATCTATCTGTCGAAAGATCGAAGGCAGCAGGTGCCAATCTCCCGAGTCTTTCAAGTAGTGCGAATTCCAATCTGCCCATTCGTTGTCCAAGCCCGGGATGTGTTCAGCCGTAACCGCCACCGCGTTGTGGAGGCAAAACTGCCAGAAGTCCTTCGCCAGGTTCGCCAGTTGTTTTGATTTTGTGCCACCTAGGTGATTTATATATCTGACCGCGGACACATTGTCGATGCGCAGAAGGACACAGCAGTTTCCCAGAGTTGGAGACAGGCTGCGAATGGCGAATGATCCTGCCAGCAATCTACACATAAACTTTGAGACAGTTTATGTGTAGTTTCGATTCGATTTCGGACCATCTGCCACCTGTGGAGACATTTCCACAGCGAGCGCCCCAACCATGCAGGCTGGCATCCGATTCTATCACCATATCCGGAGCGGTACCGAGGATTGCTCGACCGTTCCATGCCTCCATATGATCCATCCACCACCGTAGTTCCTCCTTGGAGTCTCTGTCCAGGCGTATTTCGCTTTCGTAAGAAATGCCCGAGCGAAGGTGGGATCCCTTCAGACGTTGCAGTGCCCGATAATGTAGGGGTCCCGGGAAAATTGCCTGAATGGAGGAGGCCAAAAGGCCAATCACCCTCGCCAGTTGTCATACGGAGAGAGAAGTGGTCCGTAGCGTACGTCTTATTTCCTTCTTCATAGCCTTTAGCTTGGTCTCTGGAAGGAACAAGAACTGGGCGACCGAATCGACTTCGAAACCCAGAAATTCTATTTTCTGCGTCGGGGTCACCATGGATTTTTCCAAATTTATGAGGAAACCTAAATTTTCCAGAAGATCCACCGTCCAGCCCAGATGCTGTAGAAGTTGTTCGGGGAACGTGGACATAATCAGTATGTCGTCCAGGTAAATAATCATGCGTGCTCCCGAGACCTGAGGAACGCCACTACCGGTTTCATCACCTTTGTGAAGCACCAAGGTGCTGATGAGAAACCAAAGGGCAGACAGGTACACCTCCATCGACGTCCTTGCTACGTAAAGTGCAATAAGTCCCAGTGTTCTTCTGCCATTGGAATAGTCAAATAGGCATCTTTGAGGTCCAGTTTGACCATCCAGTCTCCTTGCCGAAGCAGGTCCCTGAGGCAATGAATGCCTTCCATCTTGAAGTGATGGTAGCGGAGGAATTCGTTGAGGTGTTTGAGATTTATAACCGGTCGAACACCTCCGCCCTTCTTGGCAACAAGGAACAGGTTGCTTAGGAACCCCGGGTGGTCGTACGGGACTTCCTGTATTGCCCGTTTGACATGAAGTTCCGAGATCTCCTTGGTAATGAGCTCGGCCTGCTCTGCCGGCAATCTCAGTTCCTGTGGTGTCAAAACCTGGACAGGGGGAGATAACAGATCTAGGCGGAAACCCTTGACCGTATTCAAAACCCACATATCTGTGGTGATCATTCCTCACATATCGAAATACAGTCTGCCACCCACGTTTGAATGTAAAAGCGCACATATGGGGGTACTTACCGTAAGGGTGTCTGTATGTGCCACGTCCTCCTCGATTCTGCCACGGTCTCCCGCGTGAGGGAAAGAAAGGAGCCGGTTTGTAATCTTGGTAGACCTGAGGGGCAGTAAAGGAACCTCTGTGAGTCCGTGAGGGACCTCGAGCTCCACGGCCGGGCGGGCGGCTCCTGTACCTCCCGGCCCCATGGAAAACCTTTGGGCTAAAGTCCCGTTTTAAGTTAGACTGGGATTTGTCCAGGGCGGTGAAGGTGCGCACAAAGGAGCCCAGGTCCTTAAAGGACTCACCGAAGAGCATACCCTTGGCTCAGTCTTGAGCAAGATCGCCTTGCGGCGTTCGGCCGACATGGCCGTGTTAGCGTTGCCGAGAAGGCAAATCAGTCTTTGCACCCATCCTATCGCCTCATCAAAATCCATTCCACCGAGCGGGGATGGCGAAGGTCATCAGGATCGAACAGGGGGTAACCCTGCGGATCGCACATGTCTTGCCCCTCGCCCGGAGGTAGCGCCGAAGCGACAGACCCCGCCTCAGCATCGGAGCCCCCTTCCTCATAAGAGGTGTACTCATGGGCATCCGAGCACGACTCCTCACTCTGATCTGAGTCAGATCCATCATCAACATGGGCCCACGCCCTTTTCCATTTTCTGGCCGATTTTGCCCGGCCAGCGGCTCTCTTGCGCGTTAGCGCGCCATCTTGGACGGCCATAGGCACGTCAGTCAGGGCAGGTTTTACCTGCATAATATCATGGGAGACGTGTTTCCGTTTAGCCTGCGCTTTGCGGCCCGACTGAGGCTGCAGCACAGGCTGAGGATTGGGTACCACAGAGGGAGGCAGGGGTTGGGACAACGCCTGCTGAATGGTGTGAGACAGGGATGAGGATACTGATCCCATGGCCGAAGCCAGAGCCCTCTGCATTGTGGAGTCAATGAGGGCCTGGAACTCCTGGGAGGGATTAAGGCCACTTTCCCCAGTGACAGGGGTTTGCATGGGGTCCATAATGGGGTAGCTGGGGCTGTCAGACTCCTCACCTCTGGCCTGCATGATAGAGCAGGAAGGGTGAACCCAAAACAGAAATAAATGTACTGTAATAATCCTAACAGGGAACAGTAATGCAGTAAATGATAGAACGAAATTATCCTAACACAAACAACGTCGCAGGGGTTGAGTAACCCACAACAAATACCTGCACAGTAAAGGGAAACAAAAGGGGAGGTAAGGAGGGAGCCGACCCGCCGAGCAGACCCAGCCACGTGCGTGCCGATAATCCAAGATGGCCGCCGTGAGCAGAGCACGCCGCGGGTACCCGGAGCTCCTCCCTCGCCAATGGCCGGGGAGCGCGTGGTACACATGCGGCCGGGAACTCCCTCCCACCAGTGGGTGCGAGGAGATTGATCAGGCCGGCAGATAACGGGGCCGCACACACGCGGCCGCGAGGGTAGAGGAGGGAACAGGGAGCCAGAAGCTCCAAGTGCAAACACACTTCCCCTGAGAGCCGCGGATCCCAGCCTGTGCTGAGAGAAATACAGCACAAGCAGGGAGACCGGGCAAAGGGGAGAGAAAAACAAATAAAAACAATCAAAACACAAATATAATGACTAAAAGCATTATCCACAATAAGTAATATAAATAATCAAGGCAAAAAATCACCCAAAATACAGATCAATATACAGGAGGTAAAATTATACTTAGCTGGTCTGAGGACAGCAGCAAAGAAAGAGGAAGTGGAAGTACTAAGCAAGACATTTATGGACTGTTCCTACTAAGCTGATTGGCTGCCCTGTTACTAGGTAGATCTGGTTGTACCTGTTATTATATTTCATATTTACATTTTTTCTCTTTCAGTTTTATATTTCTCTTTGCTGCTGAGGAATAAAGTAAGAAAGAGATAGCATAATAGGAGCCTCCGTGTCATTAATAAAATCCTTATATCTTTACATCGAGAGAGAGAGAGCCAGAGAGAGCCCAGAGCCACAAGCCAAGAGAGAGTGCCCTTGTGTCCCTCTGTTACTATATAGATGTGCTCATACTAACGTCAGCGTTTAACTCTAGCCATATAAGGACAAGACCCCCAAATCCACATTCCAGAGCTCTCGGACAAAGAAAGCCTTGTGACTTATTGATACCATCTGTTACTTATGTCAATCCACACATCCATATATATAATCAATAGACACATAGAATATGCAATATTATACATGCCATTCTCATTATCCCTGCACTGACTGAATATTACCATTCCCATTATCCCCGCACTGACTGAGTGCTGACATTCCCATTATCCCTGCACTGACTGAATACTACCATTCCCATCATCCCTGCACTGACTGACTGCTGCCATTCCCATTATCCATGCCCCGTCTCCTAGAATAGGTGAACTGACATACAAGTATTTAGGTGAGATGGACACACAGGAGGTCCCTAATTTGGTACCTTTAGTTATGTTAATCTCACATAAGGATAGCACATTAAGGATCTATCAACTAAACAGCTGAAAGGTGACAATTGAGTCGAAAAAATAAGTTATTTTCTTAATGTAACTGTTTCAGTTGTTTAGTAGATAGGTCCCTTATTTTGTATCCTTTATTTTTGTCAATCTCATTTATTGGTACCAAATTCTACTAAACAGCGGAAAAGTGAAAATTATGAATGAAAGCTTTGTTGTTACTTTTGAGCTTTCATATAGATGTTTAGTAAATAGCTCCCTAATTTGACACCCCTGTCTTGGATTATCCTTTTTAAGGATTCAAAATTAGTGAGCTGTCTGATAAACATCGTTCTAATTTGGTATCATTTGGAATAATGAGGATAATAATTTGTTCAAGCCTTTGACATGCCTTAGAACGTATTTATGTATGCACAGTTATTGATATGCACTTGTATATTTAAGTTGGAAGAGTTCTGACAATATAAATGTAAGGGTATATCTTATAATCTTATATCTTATAATGTACACCACCTTCTCTTATTATAAAGTGACTCTGTCTTCTATGTGTTGTGTGTGTGTGTGTGTCTTGTTTGTGTGTCTTTTGTGTCTTTGTATGTATGTCTTATGTGTGTGTCTGTATGCATGTCTGTGTGTGTATGTATGTGTGCCTGTCTGTTTGTATGTCTGTGTCGTGTGTGTGCCTGTCTGTATGTATGTGTGTCGTGTGTGTGTGTATGTATGTATGTGTGCCTGTCTGTTATAGTGGGCTATAGTAAGTAATAGTAAGTGGGATACCTAGCTCAGCCTTCCTACTGGGCATTGCTATGAGGAAGGTTAAAAAAAATTAACAAAAAAAGAGGGGAAAAAAGGTGGGCAGGGGAATTGTGGAGGGAGAGATGAGATCAGATGAGAAATCATATTATGCACAAACAGAGAAGTCCTCTGAATATCCCCGAAAGAGGGGACCTTTGTTTGTTCCTTACGAAAATCGAACCAGATATCAAATATTTAGTCTTGCAGCATCAACCTCAAGGATCTCATTAATCACCAGTAAAGGTAATGTCAGTTGACTTTATTGTTTTCTCATTAAACTTTATAAAGTTAAAAACATTATAAACATGCATTAAATAGAAATAAAAAGATAAATGTACGTACATTTATATATTTTTATTTTTTAAATTCTTTATTTTTGAAATTTTAAATTTTCACCGGGAATTGGATACAAAAGAAAACTTGGGAGTGGGGTTAGTGTTACAGAGTTCGTAGGCCATAGTTATGCTATTTGTTTCATATAGATCATTCTAATACCATTTCTTCTCTATTTACAGTAGCGATCTATTGTTAACAAAATATTAGTCTGTCCATTTCATTAGTTGCTGTTCTAGGTCTAAAGGTTGGGGGAGGGTACAGAATAGGAGTGGGAGGGGGGTGGGATACCCTGTCTGGTGTTGATGCCAGGAAGTTTTGGGTCTGGTAATCTTCGGTTACATACCATATCCGTCTTGGCGATTTTGTGTTGCGTCTTAATTGTTCTTGTTGGATGCGGAAGTCAGGGTGTTAGGTGGGATTATTGTGTGTTTTGTGGTTGTGTACAGCGTCAGGTTGCTTCGTCTTACCGTCGCTGATGTCTGTTGTCATTGGGGTGGGAATGGGTGATCGGGGTTTGGTTCCGTGGGTCGGTCCTGTGTGTTGTTAGGGTTGCACTGGGGTGTGGGGGTGTGGAACTAGTCGTGGTGGGTGTTTTATGTGGGGTTCCGGTCCTAGCTGTGGGGGTGTGGTGCGAGCTCCTTCCTTGCCGGTGTCCATTGTAATTGGGCCCCTCTGTTTTGGGGTTGCTTGTAGCTTGTCTGGGCAGGAAGTGGGTGTCCAGGTTCCGTCTTTACTTTATCTGTTGTGTGCTGTATGTTTCGGGTTATGCCATTTTATTGTCGGTGGCGCGTCTCGTCTATTCGTTGTCTTGTGGTGCCTGTGTGATTCTGTGGGGCGAGGTGCAGGGGAAGAAGGGGGGTGAGAGTGGGGTCGAGGTGGGAAGAAGAGAGAGAGAAGAGGAGAGGAAAAACAAAAGGGCGGGTGGGAGGGGGGGGGGCCAGGTTGGAATGTGGGGGAAGGGGGCTTTTTGGGTAGTGAGGGATATGTGTTAAAGAGGTTATAGCATAATGGCCGCTCTCATTATCCATGGGTCCCATATCTTGTGGAAAGAGTTAGTCGTGTCGTGGATCAGGGCCTGTCCATTTCTACGGCCTCTTCTGTTCTTTGGTGTACTTCGAGTAGCGTTGCTGCCCCAGTGTCTGGCTATGGTTCTACGTGTGGCTAGTGCCACCTGGGCTGTGAGTTTGTTTTGGGCCGTAGTTAGGGATTCGTGTGGTTTTGAGAGGAGCCAGATCAAGGGGTCTAGCGGGATGTCGCTGTGGAGCGCCCCGTTTATTGTTTGGGCTATCTCCCTCCATAGTTGGGTGATTTGAGTGCATTCCCACCCTGATGTACCCTGTTCCCCACATCCTCTCCAGCATCGGTCTGAGGTGGAGAAACGCATTTGTTTCAGTCTCAGGGGAGTTGTAACGGAGCTCCCTGTACTCCGACTGAGTACCCTCCGTTGACGGATGCTCCTATAACTTCCTGAGGACTCCAAGCACTGCAGCAGACACCACAACCACCGCAGACTCCGCAACCGCCGTATCTTGACTGGAGTCTCGCCGTCTTCCTTCCACCCTGGATCAGCTTCTGTCCTCCAGGACTGTGTGGGAAAGAACTCTTCCTTCCACCCTGTACAAACCTCCAGCATCCAGGACTGTGTGGTGAAGACCCCTCCTCCAAGGAGAGCGTGTCAGGAACAAGCTCTTAAAAGAGCTAAGTGATTCAAGCTCAGGGGAGCATGCAGAGCATAGCAATCCCCAGTGTGATTATAACAGCTCCCTCCAATAACGAGACAAGGCTACGTTTAGAGGGATCAAGAAGAACTGTCAAAACTTTTATTTCCCTTGGGACCAGCCAATAGGGTCACCACAATAACATTGTTGTGAAACCTCAATAAAATCACAAACAGTCAAACCATATCAAGAAACACACAGTGACTTATCACAACACAATGGCACATTTTTAAAGGGGTGGGGGGAGACAATATTTAACAGTACATATCTCACCTGCCTGCAGAATTAGCAATATGCAAATCTACCCGAATGTGCAAATGAACCAGTCTTGCAATTCAGGTAGTGCATATTGCTGTTGCTACCAACAGAGGGCACTAGACAAGCTCCATAGCCAAACCCACCTAGTTGGTAGCAAACCTCAGCAATACAAGAGAGCAGGCAATACATTACACAGTACACACACACACACTATAAACAATTACATTACACACACCCTGCACCTATAATAGGTACAGGGTGACTAAAACATAAGATAAATAAAGCAGCCTACATAAATAGTCTGTCTGAAGGTATACTAGGGGCTTTAAAGCCACATACATGAAAGAGTCATAGTCACAGGGGAGGAGGCTGGCAAGTAGGCCTCTCCAGGACCAAGTGGCGAAGGGCACTTCGTCACAGGAGTAATCTAACACCGGAAC